CCATCCATCCATCCATCCATCCATCCATCCATCCATCCATCCATCCATCCATCCATCCATCCAGAATCAAAAGATGACTATTGGCTAAAAAATATTAATTGAAACTAGCTAAGAATTGGAGTTCTGGACTATTATTGCAAAATGATAAAACATAAGTAATTTTGCTTTGTGTAAATGAACATAACACAGTACACACCTGACACCAGTGCAAACATTGTGTCAGTGTAACTCATATTGTCCATACTTTAGTATAATATGTAATGGGGCTAACATCAGTGAGGGTCCTTGGACWTGTTGATGAGTTTAATAGCCAAGGGAAAGAAAGTGTTGATGTGACGGGAGGTCTCAGTTCTGATGGACCACAACCTCCTGCCATTAGGGACAGTCACCATGAGTCCATGTCCAGGCTGGGAGGGGTCTGCAAGGAGCTTTCCTGAAGGTGTGCATGTCATGGAGAGGGGGCAGGTGTCAGTCACTTACCTGGTCTGTAGAGTGAATGATGCTCTGCAGTCTGCCCTCATCATTAGCAGTGGCAGCAGGATCCATCCATTAGTAGTTCAGAAAAAACACCAACACATGTGGTGAATTATAAAAGTGTGTGGCAGCAGCTTTAACTTGAAATGGTCCTAAACCTTGGTTTCAGTCTCACTTTCAAAAATCCAAATAAAAAAGATCTTGAACAGAAGGTCTGTTAAAGATGTCTTCATTGTTTCTCTTTCTCTCATCAGGGTGAGAAAGCTGAAGGAGACGTTGGTGACCGTTCAGCAGCTTGATAAGAACATGAACAACCTGCGGACATGGCTGTCCCTCATCGAGACAGAGCTGTCCAAACCTGTGGTCTACAGTGTCTGCCACAGCCAGGAGATCCAGAAGAAACTCTGCGAGCAGCAGGTGGGCAGAAACACAGAGCGTTTCAGACAAGTTGCTACAGCACAGCTTTAAACTGTCACTGTGTGGAAAATAAAAGTTTTATAAACGGACATGAGCAGATGCTTGTTGTCACTGAGCTGATAACTTWATAACAATTCCAATAAATGAGTTGGTTATATTCAGACTGGACCCAGGTGCAGCTGGGATCCAAACCTCTGCTTTAGTTTCTCTGGGTTCACAGGAAACATATCAGGAAAGTCCTAACCCTGGCTCAGACCCTAGTTCTGGTTCAGACCCTGGTTCTGGCTCAGACCCTGGTTCTGGCTCAGACCCTGGTTCTGGCTCAGACCCTGGTTCTGGCTCAGACCCTGGTTCTGGCTCAGACCCTGGTTCTGGCTCAGACCCTGGTTCTGGCTCAGACCCTGGTTCTGGCTCAGACTCTTGTTCACGTCTTTTAATTAATTTGTAAATAAAACGTTTCTGTGCAGCTATCTAACCATTAACCCCTCTGTCAAACTGGAATGAACTGGTCTGGAAGCTGGAGGGGGGCAGGGTGTGAAGCGCCTCGTTTGGATTTAAAGAGACAGCCTCAAAACGAGTTGATCTGAGACACACTACAGGAAGGGGCGGGGCTGAAGGAGGAATTCAGCCCAAAGCATTGCAGTTCCACTTTCTGTAGACCCAACTGAAGGGTTCAAATGTGAAAATGAAAGATTTGTCCACTTCAAAGTTCCAATAACAAAATGCAGGAGAATCACAGCTGCTAAAGAAGATAAACTCTCAGTATCAGGTATCCTGAGAACAAAGATGTWAAACAAATAAAAAGTTGTTCAGATTGCAGCTCTTATAAAACTCCTGAACATCTTCATCTTTTTAATAAAGATCAGGATTAAAGCTGTTTTTGAAYTGGCCTCGACTCTAGAAGAGTCTCTCCTGTTTCCAGGGTCTCCACGAACCCTTTATGTTCCAGTCGCACTGTTGTGGTCCAAAAGCACACAAACAGAAAAGTGCTGCAAAGTAGAATCTCAGCGAGCTCCGAGAGGAGAGGAATAAGCTGCCATGCTGAGCTGAGAGGTCCTAAACGCACGAACAAACACGATTTCTAAAATGGACAAAAAATAAAATAAAATAAATGGACTCGAGCCTTTTAGTGTGTTTGTTGTCTGCACGGCCGCTGCATTGTAAAACCACTAAAAGTTACTGGTCTGAGGAAAAGTGGAGAGTGAAAAGGATCAGAAGGAGAAATATTCCAACAACAGAATAAGACTTAACTGTTTTATTGTTTTGTTTTTGGTTTATGCAAAACTGAATCAGATGACAAAGACACTTTGACCTGACTCCATCTGAAGAGTTCTGCTGCTGTTTACACAACCAAGTGAGGCCATTGTTGCACTAAAGTATCAAATGTTAAATTTACAGGAGTGGAGATGATATGAGATGGTTAGTGAGAGTAGGGAGCAGGTGAAAGAGAGCCTGGAGAGGTGGAGGTTCTGTAGAGAGGAGTAAGATGTTCAGGGACCAGATTGACAGGATTAGAAATGACTCCATCAGAGGTGCTGTTCAGGTTTGGAGACTTCCAATGAGATGGTTTGGACATGTGCAGTGGAGGGACAGTGGGCATACTGGACAATGGATGATGGGTATGGAACCAGCAGGAAGAGAGGAAGACAACAAAGAGTGATTGTTGTAGTGATGGCGTATCTTCAGTGAGCTGGTGGAACAGAGAAGCAATCAGATGGTTTTGTCTGACATACAAACAATTCTTTAATAAGGTTTACAAAGTGTTAACATTATAATATTAGGACAATTTATAAAGAAAAAAAAAACAGGTCACAAAAACATAGTTTCTGAAAAAAGGTGTCAGTTATTCATGATTAAAGAACTGGCTGTCCTTCAGAAAAGTCTTCAGTCTTGATCTGTAATGGGTCCAGTCAAAAACCAGTTTCACATTTAGGTAGGAAGATCCACCTTAGTCCAGCATATCATTCATTTGGTCCACTTGTATAACACATGTTTTACATTTGGTCCACATGTATAACACATGTTTTACATTTGGTCCACATGTATAACACATGTTTTACATTTGGTCCACATGTATAACACATGTTTTACATGTGGTCCACATGTATAACACATGTTTTA